TCTGTGCTCTCTTGTCTGTTTCCTCTGTTCTGTTCCTCTTCTCTGTGTCTGTGTCTCTGTGTCTGTGTCTCTGTGTCTGTGTCTCTGTGTCTGTGTCTCTGTGTCTCTGTGTCTCTGTGTCTGTGTCTCTGTGTCTCTGTGTCTGTGTCTCTGTGTCTGTGTCTCTGTGTCTGTGTCTCTGTGTGTCTGTGTCTCTGTGTGTCTGTGTCTGTGTGTCTGTGTGTGTCTGTGTCTCTGTGTCTCTGTGTCTCTGTGTCTCTGTGTCTCTGTGTCTCTGTGTCTCTGTGTCTCTGTGTCTCTTGTGTCTCTTGTGTCTCTGTGTCTCTGTGTCTCTGTGTGTCTGTGTGTCTGTGTGTTTGTGTGTCTGTGTCTCTGTGTGTCTGTGTGTCTGTGTGTCTGTGTGTCTCTGTGTCTCTGTGTCTCTGTGTCTCTGTGTCTCTGTGTCTCTGTGTCTGTGTGTCTGTGTGTCTGTGTGTCTCTGTGTCTCTGTGTCTCTGTGTCTCTGTGTCTCTGTGTCTGTGTGTCTCTGTGTCTCTGTGTCTCTGTGTCTCTGTGTCTCTGTGTCTCTGTGTCTCTGTGTCTGTGTCTGCGTCTGCGTCTGCGTCTGCGTCTGTGTCTGTGTCTGTGTCTGTGTGTGCGGGGAGGGGGAGAGGGGCTGAAGTTTTACGGTGTTGTATGCGTGCCGTTGAGTTCACTGTCTTGGGGCTGGAGGTTTGGCGTAGACGCTTGTGCAACAAGCTTGAAGCAATTAGAGCGTTCCGTTTTTCGATGGTCGGATAAGCGCGTCACCCAGCTTTGCGAGCATCCTTTGGAGCACGCAAGCAGGCTCTCATAACTCGTCTGACCTACGGTGATGGTCCGAGTGCCTGCGGGGGGAGGGATGACCTTATTTTGTGAGAGTGGCTCACTTGTTCAAGGTCTCTGGCAATTTGGTTCGGAGGCTTGCATAAGATTGAAGGCAGGGTAGGTAAGGGCTTAGGACATCGGGATGCCAGTAGCTGAACCCTGGCAACACGAACAATCCAAACGTTCGCACCTGGACGGCTCATCAGTTGAAGACACTGGCATCTCATTTCTCATATCTCGTGGGCCCTATGACCATACGATCCAGCTACCAATGCCATGCCCGTACCCTTTCCATAGGAGAGACTTCACGGCTGGGTGTCCCCCTAAACTAAAGCCAGAAACCGACCCTTGAACCTTGTGCTGTGGAGAGTATCTGTTATAAAACCCCCCAAGGGGAAGAGTCGACACTCATGGTGGACCACCGCCAGCAGGCCACAGACTGCTCAGAGCCGGGGTATCAGTGCTTCGGCGTAGCAATCGAGCGATCGTCCAGGACATCACCGCTACAACTGCTCTTTCTCGAAGCGAAGCTAATGAGAAGCAGGATTGACCATGTCGCCCTGAGCCTCGAGGGCCTCCAGGCCTCCACCCCAAACTTCAAGAACAGTGGAACAGCCCAAACGAGTGCTCAGGGAACTTCAAACATCGTCGGTTAAGAAGCATTTCTGGAAATGCTAGGGGCCGCTCCCGGGACAGAGGATTTAAGCCTGGTACGTCCCAGACACTCCGGGACGAGCCCGCGCGCACCTCAGGACGCACCACCCTCGCTCCATCCCAGGAGAAAGCTGCCTCCGCAAGTCAAAGGAAAAAGATGGATGGTCTCCCAAACTGGAGCCCGGGGGTTCTCACGACAGAACCGGGCAATTCGGACTGCAAGATCCCACAAAGCCAGTCAGGTTGGGGGCTGCACTTTGCGTCCTTCCTTTGGGTTTAGGGCTTAGGGCTTAGGGTTTCGAGTTTCGGGGTTAGGGGTTAGGGGTTAGGGTTTAGGGTTTTTTGAAGACTGTCTAGGTTGGTTCATCTTCCAATGCTTATATTCGCACGTCGACGACCAAAAGGCCGTCCAGAACTTTAAGGCCTTTCTGTACACAGATGTATATATGCATATACATGGTCATATATCTGTATATATATATATGTATAATATATGTGGTCGTATATCTACATATACATATAGATATGAATATATATATATATATATATTACACACAAATGTCAAGTTCTGAGCGGAGCGCCTGCATCCAGTGAATATAGCGGCTTTGTTGCTGGGAGGAGAAAAAAAGCAGCCAAAGTCGAACTTCAGGACTCTCATGAGGTGCCTGTGGTGTTTGAAGCCGGGAGGTACAGCATCGCTCAGCCCCTGGATGTCAACTTATTGGCTCAGGGATCAGCATCTGTGCACAGGCAACGCCTTTGACGTTGCGCAGTGACCGCTCCAATGGAAATCTTGGTCAGCCATGCCCAGTGATAAGACCCGAACCTGAATGAAACTGTGGCCACGCTTGCTGGAACTCTTGTACGACTCCCCGGCACGAACTTTGAGGATAGCTGCTACCGCTCGTCAGCTCTGGCTGTGTCCACAAAGGGATACCTTGAACCTTTGCATACCAGTACTGCCGTCACTCTCGTCACTCTCTTTGCGCTAGCAGCTACATCTCCATTTTCCCATTGAAGCAGCCCCAAAAGCTCAACACTTTCGCGTGGCCATCGCAATTCGACGGCTGATCGGTGCAACTACTTCGCAACCACGGGTTCGTCGCAGCTTGCTCAGATTGTGTGCGCAGAAACCTGGGCGCGATGGCATCCGGTCAGTTTGCCGCGACGTAAATCCTCGTTGCATAGACTGCAGACTACCGAAGGCTGGATTGTGGAACCGCCATGAAGAGCCAGTATGGGCCTTTGAGGCCACAGGATTGTGGAGGGACCTTTGAGGCAACAGTTAAAGTTGTGGAGAATCATGTTGGGGCGGGCAAAGGGAGCCTCACCCGCATTTACTGTGCCCCACTCAGCTGTACACATCTCCCTCCTGAAATCAGACAGCAAGCTACCACCCGGAAACCCCCACTGAGAGTGTCAAGGTTTCCCCGAGAACTGTTCCAGCGCGCCTCAAGTCTCTCTCACATCTCGGCTTCTCCTGGGCTGCTGGCTGCCCAGGAACCCAGGCCAAGAAAGATTGCTCTGTCGTGGTTGAGTGCTGTCCAACCGGCAGGTATCTGGCTAGAGGGGTAGAGTTTATACCTCGTAATGCGATTTTCAGCTGTTGCACAAGCTGTTCCGCAGCTGACCACAGCTCTTCTGGACATGAAACCACGTCTCCGCACACGTCAAAGGATTCACACGCCTTTGTTGAAAAATGCCAGACACAGTGAGAAAAGGGCAGCAGCAGGCACCCGTTCCGGCTGAAACTGGGGCTCTCGTCTCGACTTCCTCAAAGCAGATCTTGCAGGCCAAGTCTCCGGTTTTGGAAAGCTGCTGCTCATCAGCTTCAGCGGGGAGCGCACCGACCTTCGGGGAGGTCTGGACTTGCTGCAAAACTCTTTGCTAGTTCTGCTATAAAAACCCGATATAAACTTCGGGCTTTAACACAAATTGTGTCCAAGTCCATACTACACGGAAGACAATGAATCCAAAAGGTACAAAAACATTAATGTTCCTTTTGATCGAATATGGAAGCCCAGTATTATGTGAAGGTGACTCCTATTGTGTGGGGTCACCCGGAGGAATGCGAAGTCTCGGACATCTCCAAAATTTCTGGACCCAGGCTGCATATACATCCCATACAAAGAGCATGAAAAGATTTCTAAGGAGCAGCCCTCGAGCAGCACTCGTGCACTTTCGCATATTGTTCTGATCCAGAGCCCCAGAGCGAGTCTTTTTGAACGCAGGAGATTAAACGGCTTTAGCTGGGATGTTCCCCCTTACACGCTAAACCCTAAACCCTAAAACCCTAGCAGTCCTTAATAGGGATTATGGTAGGGAGGGTACTATAATCCCTATTAAGGACTGTTGTATAAGGCGGAACATCCCAAGGCCTTGTGCTCTTCGGCGGGGGGGAATGAGGTACCCTGTACAAACCCTTGAAGGGTAAATACCGGGGCCCTGATTCCCTCCTTCCCTACTAAGAACCAGGCAGGCTCTTGAGCTAATTGCCCGAAGCCTCGGGCGATCCTAAGACCCCTGAGTTAAATGCTCCCTCCCGGCATCGTTGCACAACAGTCGGACGAGGGTACAATCACATGGTCACTTCTCAAAATTGGGCCCCTGTTCTTGGGGGTTACAAGAAGGACCCCAGAAAGGACCATAATTTAGGGAAACACCCACATCAGGTTTCACGCAGCCGTTTCCAAGGATGACCCCCCCAAGCGACCAGGCAACTACATCAGGATTTCAGCCCGAAGTTGCAAAACAACGAATCCGGATGCAATGACTTAAAACCCCACGCCAAGGTCTCATTGCATCCCACGATAAGTCCTCGAACTACGAGACATGGCTGTCTTCCGTATGTTCTGCAAAATGCGCTCAACAAAAAAGCTGCTGCCCAGCAAGACACGTGCAATCGCACAGTAGTTTGACAAGGAGCTATTAAGAGTTTGCTTGGCGGGCTAAGCTCTGAATATACCTTGCCCTCACACGATTCGGCTCGACTTCTAGTAGAACCCCATTGAGAAGCCTCTGACTTTCATGTTGCACAGTCGAAGAACACCCAGCAAGAAATTGGATCATGATTTTAGTCTCTGACCCTGCAACACAGCTTCAAGAATCTGACTCACATGCGTCATGGGGAGGTTCGTGAGGCAGTACGGGTTGGCGACTAAATCAGGGCTAACGATTCCAATGGGACTCAGCATGTTGCATGCCAGCCAACACAGGCTCCAGAACTCAAAACTCAAATCGCGACAATATACAGTCTTGCTGGCTGCACACACGCTCCGGATGCTGTATCTTAGTGCATTTCCAGGTGCTGTGCAGCCTTGCTGTAAGTTACTGCAATTTTGTCTATTCACTGGCAGATGCTGCAAACTGCTGCAAACTGCATCTCAAACGAGTTCAAGCCCCCTGCCTTTCTCAGTCGATCCATGAACTCCTTGTCCCCCACCTGCGATGACCTCAAGCGGCGTCCAAAGTACTTACTACTTGGACGTTAGGGAGGGTGCGATGGTTTCGGCACCAGAGGCTTAGGCATCAGGGCTTGTGTTGAAATGTGCCGAATCCAAAACTGTCCAGCACCTCTCTCCTGTGGAAGCCAAGGCCCTTGGTCTTAAAGCATTGCTTTCGTGACCGCAGGACTTCCTCCATGATTAACAAGCCGAAAACCTGACAGTCGGAGGCTGTCGGAGCTCGGTCTTATCCATGCCGAGTCGCACGAAGCGCTGCACTCTCGGGTGCAGCTTATCCCAAACTCCTGCAGATGTCTCCACACTTAGAACTCTTGCATTCCGCCAGGAGCTCAGGCATTTAGTGCTTCGGAGGCTTTGGCTTGAAGCTCGGAGCCCCAAACCCAAACCCACCCAAACCCAGGGTCCGGGGATGTACAGCAAGATGCGCCCAGAGAAGATCATGAGGAAGGTCCACCTCAAGCTTTTCGGCTTATTACTTATGCCTCAGGCTCGCATGCAGCTGGTCTGCTGCGGATACTATTGACATGTCTTGCCACTGCAGCATCACTCCAACAAATGCTGAGGTACAAAGTGTTCGTGGAGCCAAGGCACACCATCAAGGCCCCCAGAACACCGACCTCGATCTTGTAAGTGGTGATCTGCAGCAGGATGCAGACCGTGGACGGGACTGCCTGCATGTAGTCACCCCATTCAATGTCCTTCACGCCCTCGATCATGAAGACGCCCACCATAACCAATGCAGGTCCAGTGGAAAGGGTGGGGATAGACGAGAGCAAGGGCGTCAGGAAGACGCAAATGAAGTTCAGGAACGCAATGGTAAGCGCAGTGAGGCCGGTGCGGCCGCCCTCGTACACGCCGGCCATAGACTCGCCGTACGTAGTGACAGAGCTGGTGCCCAAGAAGCCACCCACAAAGGTTCCCACGGCATCCGCCATGAAGGCGGCGAAGCAGCCCGGAAAGGTCTCCGGCTTTGAGGGATCGACCAGCCCGCTCAGGTCTGCTGCTGCATACAGGAAGCCCATGGTCCCGATGAAGTCGATGTAGAGGAGGGTGAGCAACCTCGGTGCCGGGGTCTGCAAGCTGACTCGTGGCTACAAGCACCAGGTGCTGCGAGATGCACAAACCTGCTTGAACTTGTGCTGTGCCAAGCAACGGGTTCCAGAAGCCTGCCCAGTCGCCAAATCCGGACGTGTCCCATGCCAGAATTGTGCCGCCAGAGACGTCGCCGTTCACGCAATTGGTGCCGTTTGAGTCCTGAGCTTAGACAGCAAGCATGGCAACGTCAATAGAGGCGGGTGCCTTTCAACAGCTTCGTATACGAAGGCATGAGCTCAACCTCCAACACCTCTGCAGTGCATTTGCCGCCAAGTGCGGGCTAGAATCGCAGCCGGCCCATCCAGCGAAGGGAGGCACCAAATCCCCCGCAATGTCGATGAGCGGAATGGAAGCGATGGCACTTGGGGCACTGAACGTCTTCCTTCAGTGAGACCGCTCATGACCGCTCGTGTGAGAGTATGTGAAGGTAGACTAGCAAGCTGGTGCCGTGCATTTGGTTCCGAATGCTCGCATAGCCGAACGATGAAAAACGCTTGATTGCACATGCTCTCCAGCACATTGCCGATGTCGCTGCTGCCGTTGCGCTTGTTAAGCTCTCAAAGTCTTTGAGGCAGTTAGCATCGTTTAGTTCAACTGAATGACCGCCCCTATGATGATCCCTTTTCAGTTGGGTGTCTACAACCAGCGCCAGATGTTTGTGCATACGCGTGCGTGATGCCAACAGCTTGGCCAAAAGAACTGTATGCAGCTGCTTCTTGAAAAGCATGATCTCGACTATCTGTACACACAGCCAAGGGTCGGAATGCGACCAGCCCCGCCCAGGCAACCCTCTCCAAATCCATCGACCAGCAGGCTCTCGGTGGCGCGGTCCTGGTAGGACATGCCAGTCCTGGCAAAGGCTGTTATGGCTCCAAGCCTCAAGCCTCTAGCGACTGAGCAAGACATGCACTCAAGTGCACAAGCTTCGAGCGTGATCAAACTATAAGATTGCATAAGATTGCTAAACCCCTTGGGAGGTCCAGCAACCCGTCTCCACGAGCACGGCCCCGAAGCACATTGGGTCGAAGCCGCCCAGCATGTGCATGCACGAGTCTTGGCAGCCACCCTTGAAGGTAGAGTCGCGGCCTTCTGCAATGCCCTGCCAGTAGAGGCTGCCGCTGTGGGTCTGGCTAGTGCCGCCGTTCGTGATGGTAAAGACCCCGCCGGTGTGGGACACAGAGGCAGTGGACTCGAAGGTGTAAGTGCGGACATTATCCGTCACCGTCAACTTCCCTTCTCCGGGCACAGTGAAGGGGTTGTTGCACGTAGGTTTTGGGTAGTAGCCGCCTCCGGGCTTGGGATACCACTCCACGCCTCCTGCAGCCGGCTCCGGATACGAAACGCTGCCAAGGCAGCACATGGGCTTGTACGAGAACTGCTCCACCGCTGCTGCATCCAAGATCCAGCAGAGGACTGCGCTGAGGATGATGGCAATCATCACGGCACCCTTCACGCGCAGAAGAATCAACAGGGCCATGACGCAGAAGAACGCGATTCCAATCCAGGTGCGCGCAAAGTGCTCGCCAGTCAGGGTCACAAGGTCCACAAGCACTGCCGGGTGGTCCCTGACGATGTCGATGCCGTTGCCCGCTTGCAGTCCGATGTGGGCCAAGAACAAGCCGATGCCCGCCATGGTGGCCTTCATCATCCACGTGGGGAAGACCTTGAAGACGTAGCGCCGGAGGTCAAGGGCAGACATGATGATAAAGATCACGCCCTCAATCGTTACAGCCATCATCACTTTTTTCACGGCAGTCTGCGTTCCCTTGAAGCCCACGATGGTGTAGGCGAAGTAGGCGTTCATGCCCATGCCGGGCCACAGACCGAAGGGCAAGTTCCTGAGACAGCTCCAAAGACAAGAAGGGGGGTGGGAAAATTGTCCGACAGCATCAATCAACACTCCAAGACCTGTAAAAAGAACATCATCCCTGTTCCCCGCAACCTGCTGGTTCTCAAATCACGCACAGAGAGCAACCATGTATAATGCATATATATATATATATATATATATATATATATAATATGTATATATATATGTATATATATATACACATATATATATATATGTATATATACACATATATATATATATTACATATTTATTTTTGTACAGCAAACAATCACGCACGCGCGCACACACACACACACCTCTTTTTCGGACGAATCGCACAAGCCCAATGCCCCTGCAACGCTCGAAGGTTGGGACGCAGTATTCTGCGGAATCTTTGTTGAACATCCCGAACTGTGCAAACCTCCTCCTTCTGTCCAAAGCACGCCCACAGCGCCATGATCAGCGTCGCAATGCAGCTCGACATGGCCGTAGCGAAGACGAGGCCCTCGAAATTCCTTTGGCGGGACTGCGGATTCAAGACTTCAGGAAAGGGTTGTGGCTCCAGCCACAGATCCCTGGAAAAGACTGATTTCACAAGATCTGACTAAAACACCTCCGTCGTCAATTTCTTGCCGGAATCGCCCTAGTCATGACTGCTGAGTCCATGCCACTGGACAAACGACAACAGACAGAGTCCTAGGTCCCAGGGTCCCGCATACATCCGAGCAGATCTAGGATGGCTCAGGCCCATCAGGATTACGGGCGCGGCGCCGTGTCCTATCGGTTCGAAGTGATACTCCCGGTGTTTCACAGGAACCGCCCATCCAACCCCGCTTCATCTACGGGGAGGGCACATAAGACATGTGCCTGCACGGAGGGTGTGGAGCTGAATGTATAAGGGTGCAGGATGGTGATGGCTATGGAGAGTGGCGTGCATGTGGCTCAGCCAGAACAGAACCGAAGGGAAACCGCCGATTGCTCTAGTGCAAATTCCACGCCAAAACCATCTTAAAGGTCTCAAGCTCCATTTTTCTGCTCGGCCGGAAGCTCCAATCACAACTAGACTCCCTAAACACCCCCAAAACAGCGCTTGCGGCACCCAAGTGGCAGGCCGGTGGTGCTGATGATGTTCGGGTTGACCTTGCAGACAGAAAAGAGCGGCAGGGACTGGGAGTACCAGGCTTACATACTAGGGCTTCAGCCACCGCCTGAAATGTGCACAAGAGGCTTCAAATCCAAGCCGCGGCCATGATGTAGGCTGCGGTGAGGAAGGTCGTTACGCCGGCACGGATCTCCTCATGTGTGGGAGTTGGCATTGCATTTCAAGATTCAACAAGCAGCTGGGGCTACCGGCGACTACTCTCAATGCATCCGTGTCTCCGTCGTGAGGTTCGAGCCACGCTGGGACACCTGGAGATTAAACACATGTATGTATGTATATATATATATATATATACATATATATATATATATATACGCATATTATATATATATATATATATATATACATACATACATTCATACATACATACATATATATATATATATATAGCTATATATATATATATATATATATATATATATATATACATATATGTATACACATGCATACACATATGTATACATGTGTCGTTGTTGTTGTTGCTGTTTTTTTAGCTCCCCCACCCCCCACCCACACCCCCTTTTGGTTGCTTGTTTGGTCTTCTGTTGTTTTTTTTCTTTGTTGCGCTTTGGGTGTCTTGGCTCCTGTTGCATTTCTGGTCACAGGCGTATTTGATGTCAACAGCAACTGGCCTCTAATTCAGTTTTAGTCCTATGATCCATACTCGTATTTGGGTTCCTCTTGAGAGTGCATCAAGTTAATCATGCAGCTGAAATCTGCTGCAACCTTCCCTACGACAAACTGTGGTAGAAAACTGGCTTCGACGTCAGTCGTGGGGGGGGTGAGCGTATACTTGTATGTATTGCCCCGGACTGTGCCGCCCTGAAGGTTGGGCCCTAGGCGTTGGGATATGGCTTTGTGCAGTATTTTGAGCTTACTCTGCGCCACTTCGTCGCTGTGCACGCCCTAGCCTGTGCCTCTTGCTGAGTCGGCCAGCCTTGAAGTAGTTGTCCACCTTTCCGCCGCGGAACTTCGTGTCCAAAAAGGTGTCTTTCTGGGCGACTTGCCGGAATGGGCGGGGTCTGTCGCTTGCTTGGCTTCATGACTGTTAACAGCAGTTTAGAAGCATTGCGGTGAGCACCCTAGAATCCAGAAGCCCACAACAACAATGGCAGCGTCAATGGAATCAATGGAAACAACCTTTCGCCGCAACGAAGTCGTCCTTTCAATAACTATCGCCAAGCTGCGACGGCCGACTTGCCCTTGGCGCCCACCTTGAAGTCGGGCTGCTCTTCTGCCATGGTGGAGGACAGGTCTGCAAGGGCAACACGGGGCACAACAGTTGCACCAAACTATGCTTGAGGCGGCGAGGTGGCAAGTCTGCCGGCTGGCCCTGCACGGCAAGGTACACAACCCGGAGCGTAGCAGTCCTACATACATATTGGGCATGTTGCCGAGCTGATATTGTTCAGTGACGTGAAAAGAGCAGCTACAAGTAGTACGTTAGCCTGCTTATCTCGCAGATGCCGGCTGTCCTTACACCAAAAGCTGTATCGACGATTGTGACAAGGCTCTCCAACGCCACGCCAAGATCCGCAGAGGAGGCTGTGGTGAGGACAATGGCAATCATCACCAAAGGCCCTTGAGGCAAAAGAACCCAGTCTCGATCCGCGTGCCAAGCGCTCACCCGTCAAACTCAGGATCGAGAACAGGTCGATGCCCGGCATGGTGGCTTTCATCCATGCGGGGGAAGAACCTGATGCGCCGGAGGTCAGGGGCCCCTGACCTGCCAATAAAGCTTAGCGCGGATTCGACCGCCGAGGGCGCCTCACAGCCATCACTTGCTGTTCACAGCACTGTGCGCGATGAGGCGTTCACGCCCCATGGAAGGCAAAGCTAGGCTCCCATTCTGCTTCAGGAAGCCAAGAGCCTTGCCCTGGGCATCCTGAACCCGAATGGGAGCCTGGGAGCCTAGAAGTTATGCCCTGAGGGTCTTCGGAAGACCCTCCATAGCACTCCAGCCCTGTACCAAGCACACCAGCGCTGCTTTTCGCAGCCCGCAGCGTTGGAGTCTTCGCATGCCAAGACGCCAGCCGAGGGCGGAACACATGCTCACGCGGACGCCTGTTAACCCCACAGGGGTTGGACAAAAAAAGGCTCTGCTCGTAGAAGCTTGGCCAAATCCACTGCAAGGCCAGAGATGGCGGCGGGAAGCTGTGAGAAGCACTTGAACCCCAAACCCTAAACACTAAAACCCTTGACATGCATTGTTCAACCCTGTGCTTGCAGCAGTACGTGGCGCTGCGTGTCTCACATGGCAACGTGATTCAATGGGACTCAGCACACTCAGAGACTCCTTCTGCTCTCATGCTCGGACAGCTTGGAGCGCTTCCGCGATTTTTTCTTGCCGGTTTCGTCGCTTCCTGAAGCTGCTTCGTGAGAGCATCCTTTGGATGCACGCTGAGCAGAATCTTTTCGCCTCCACCTGTGGCTCATGGTCCAGAGTGCCTACGGGGGAATGACCTTGTCTGCTGTATGAAGGGCTCCGGGCTCCAAGGGCCTCTCAGCTACCCATCTTCATACCTTCCTAGGGCTAGGAAAGCGCCCCCCCAGGGGAAGAGGCGACACTCGTGGGTGGACCACCGCCGGGCTGTCAGAGCTTAGGCGTTCCCGCCCAGGTGGGGCGCTTGGACCTTGCAGTCTGAGCTGAGAACGCTGCTGGCTGCCCAAAGCTCTTTTGTTTGACAAAGCTGCCCCCCTTTTGAGAGAGCAAATCAGAGAGCAATCAAGCGACGACCAGGACATCGCCACTACAACTGCTCTAAGGCGAAGCGAGAAGCAGAAATCGCATCCATCCCAAGAGAAAGCTGCCTCCGCAAGTCGAAAAACGACGGTCTCCCAAACTGGAGCCGTCCGGTTGCTGTACTGGTTCTTCGCAAGTATGTACGACAGAACCAGCAAGGCAACTTAGACTGCCAGATCCCACGCAAAGCCTCCAAAGTCCTCCAGGACTGAAAGGTGACTCTAAGGGTTTGGAGCCGGGACTCACAGTCCCGGATGTCAACATATTGGCTCAGGGATCAGCAGCCGTGCAAAGACAACGCCTTTGACGTTGCATGCAGTGGCCGCTCCATGGCATTATGAGCCGTTGCGTCTTGCGCCGCTAGTTTGCAGAGTGGCCGGGTCCAAAACAACCAACAATTCCAGGCTCCAGCCATTCCAGCAGCTCACACCTCAACACTTGCACGCAGCCGCCGCAATCTGCTCGACGGCTACGGGAGCGGTGCAACTACTTCGCAGCCCTTCGGGCTCATCACAGCAGGCTCAGATGTTGCGCGTCCAGCCTGCACATGTTGTGCAAAAGGACGGTGCGGGCATTCTGCAGGCCAAGCAGCCTTGATTGTCCTTGAGTAGAAACCATCACCCCAAAACACCCCAAACCTGCTGCTGCTTGTTGCACTACAGGGGTAAAAGGCCTCCGAGGGTTGGGCAGCAAGGTTGCGGAGGCTGCCAAGGGTTCGTCCATGTGCTCCCCCTACGCACCCTACCCCAGCTTCCGGACTAGTCCGCAAGCGCAGTTGCGAGCATCCTGAGAGGATAACGTGTAACACTCCCCCCCCCCTCCCCCGAAAAATGGTGTCCCTGATCGAACCTCTGGCTTCTCAGATGTCGCCGCCTCCTGGGCTCTGGCCCGTTGTTTGTGGTTGTTCAGGAGGTTGCTGGTTGCCGGGATGGTCAAACTGGGATGCTTCTCGGGCTTTCACTGTTCGTTTGCTGTCCCTTCTCAGAAGAGACACCACCAAGAAACCGAGAAGGGGGAAACTCCAGACATGCTGGGCTAGACCTCCATAAGGAGTCGTTTCTTAGCGCTCCCACGATGCTCGCTGCCAGCTCTTCACACAGCCGCAGCGTGGGCGACATGCTAGACACCGACTGAAGCAGCTTACGGATGGCAGCCCCCCATGGAGACTCTCAGGTTCTGGTTTTGATTCATCCAGAGCAGATGAAGGGGGGACGTTTACGAGATAAGGGACCCCTCATATAAATCGCCACATAGCAGGACTCCCATATGATGAGGGACCCAATAAGGTACCCCTACCTTCGGAAACCCCACATGGGCATTTCCCAAAATCCACATAGAACAGCATCCCTTTGAAAAAGGGGGGCCCTGGTCACAAAAAGGGCACCCCCCCAACTTCCAAAACCCGAAACCCCCCCACGCGCCAAGTCTCAGAAGGCCACCTCTTTAGACTCCTTGGACAGCTCCTGCTCGTCGGCTTCAGCGGGGATCGCGCCGACCTTCCGAGAAGCGCTAGAAATGTCGTTGGAAGGTTCCTTCGGGACAGCTCCTCTGCATGGTTCGCTACAGGAACTCTTGGGATCTTTGACGAGTTTGAGGGCTGATCCGTTTTCCTTTGGACACGTACGTTCGACACTCTGGCCGGGACTTTTGCAGCCCCGGCGCAGCCGGTAGCAGGATTCCTACAGTTGCCGGCCAGCCTGCCTGTTGCGGGCTTCTTGTGTCCATGCCCCACCAGCCCACCCTATGTCATGAAGTTGGATCCCCTTCCACGTCAGCCACAGTCAGAGCGGCGACCCCCAAGGTTCCCAACAAGCCAAGGTTCCCAACAAGCCTCTGGCTTTCTGTTGGCGATGAACGAAGTTGCTACTAAGACTGCACCAACAAACATGGCAGCTTCTGACGATGTTTCGTTGGGATGGGAACCTTCTGCTGAGATCCCAAAATCTTTGTCCCACAATCCAAATCCCATACTGGTCCAAAGACTGCAATCAAAATCGCAAGACAACAGCCTCAACCATACCGAGCTCCAACCAAATAGTCCCTCCGCCTGTCTCAGTCGATCCATGAACTCCTTGTCCCCCACCTGTGATGACCTCAACGGCAATGCAGGGGGCACAGTAGTTTCGGCATCGAACCCTAAACCCTAAACCCTAAACCCTGAACCCTAAACCCTAAACCCTAAACCCTAAACCCTAAACCCTAAACCCTAAACCCTAAACCTATCCCAAACTCGAGACCACAAATGTGCGGCAGAACTGCCCGAGGCCTCCCGTACTTGGGTGTTGCGGAGCCTCTGAGTGCCTGCATGTCCCTACCATCTGCTTAGGAACTCCGCAAAAACCACAACAACACTCTAAGGGGGTTCTTACTCAAATAGTAGTCCTTCTCTCCGGCTGGAACTTTGACACTAGGGGCAGCACGGCAGGCGCGCGTGCCCAAATTGCCGAATTGCGAAAATGCCAAATTGCGTTGGTTCTCTCCAGTAGCCTAAGCATACTAGCGAGCACTTCTTTAGGGTGAAGGTTTAATTTAAAAGCGGAACCGCACCCTCCACAAGGAAGACAACGGTCCGGAATTCCACCAACTGGCTGTCTGGAAGCATTAGCCCGGACCGCCGTGACCTCTTAAAGCGCCTTCAGCTTCATCTTAGTTGTCCAGTAACCTGGGGGAAGTAAAGGTTAACCTTTGAGATTACAAGGGGATTATACTACCCCAAAAAAGTTAAAGGGGTACTACCAGGTCATGGTTCTCGCTTACACCCCGTCCAGGCTCTGGGGCTTTGTTGCCGCAGGACGCTCAACAAGCCCAGCCCTGGCAGTCGGAAACTGTGCCGAGTCGCACGAACCGCTGGACGCTTGGGGGCAGCTTAGCCCAAACTCCTGCAGATGTCTGCACACTTTGAGATCTTGCATTCCGCCAGGCGCTCAGACCCTTAGTGCTTCGGGGGCTTTGGCTTGAAGCTCGGAGCCCCAAACCCAAACCCACCCAAACCCAGGGTCCGGGGATGTACAGCAAGATGCGCCCAGAGAAGATCATGAGGAAGGTCCACCTCAAGCTTTTCGGCTTATTACTTATGCCTCAGGCTCGCATGCAGCTGGTCTGCTGCGGATACTATTGACATGTCTTGCCACTGCAGCATCACTCCAACAAATGCTGAGGTACAAAGTGTTTGTGGAGCCAAGGCACACCATCAAGGCCCCCAGAACACCGACCTCGATCTTGTAAGTGGTGATCTGCAGCAGGATGCAGACCGTGGACGGGACTGCCTGCATGTAGTCACCCCATTCAATGTCCTTCACGCCCTCGATCATGAAGACGCCCACCATAACCAATGCAGGTCCAGTGGAAAGGGTGGGGATAGACGAGAGCAAGGGCGTCAGGAAGATGCAAATGAAGTTCAGGAACGCAATGGTAAGCGCAGTGAGGCCGGTGCGGCCGCCCTCGTACACGCCGGCCATAGATTCGCCGTACGTAGTGACAGAGCTGGTGCCCAAGAAGCCACCCACAAAGGTTCCCACGGCATCCGCCATGAAGGCGGCGAAGCAGCCCGGAAAGGTCTCCGGCTTTGAGGGATCGACCAGCCCGCTCAGGTCTGCTGCTGCATACAGGAAGCCCATGGTCCCGATGAAGTCGATGTAGAGGAGGGTGAGCAACCTCGGTGCCGGGGTCTGCAAGCTGACTCGTGGCTACAATGGCTACAAGTACCAGGTGCTGCCAGATGCACAAACCTGCTTGAACTTGTGCTGTGCCAAGCAGCGGGTTCCAGAAGCCTGCCCAGTCGCCAAATCCGGACGTGTCCCATGCCAGAATTGTGCCGCCAGAGACGTCGCCGTTCACGCAATTGGTGCCGTTTGCGTCCTGAGCTTAGACAGCAAGCATGGCAAAGTCAATAGAGGCGGGTGCCTTTCAACAGCTTCGCATAAGAAGGCATGAGCTCAACCTCCAACATCTGTGCAGTACGCTTGCACTACACTTGCCGCCAAGTGCGGGCTAGAAGCGCAGCCGGCCCATCCAGCGAAGGGAGGCACCAACTCCCCCGCAACGTCGATGAGCGGAATGGAAGCGATGGCACTTGGGGCACTGAACGTCTTCCTTCAGTGAGACCGCTCATGACCGCTCGTGTGAGAGTATGTGAAGGTAGACTAGCAAGCTGGTGCCGTGCATGTGGTTCCGAATGCTCGCATAGCCGAACGATGAAAAACGCTTGATTGCACATGCTCTCCAGCACATCGCCGGTGTCGCTGCTGCCGTTGTGCTTGTTCGGCTCTCAAAGTCTTTGAGGCAGTTAGCATCGTTTAGTTCAACTGAATGACCGCCCCTATGATGATCCCTTTTCAGTTGGGTGTCTACAACCAGCGCCAGATGTTTGTGCATACGCGTGCGTGATGCCAACAGCTTGGCCAAAAGAACTGTATGCAGCTGCTTCTTGAAAAGCATGATCTCGACTATCTGTACACACAGCCAAGGGTCGGAATGCGACCAGCCCCGCCCAGGCAACCCTCTCCAAATCCATCGACCAGCAGGCTCTCGGTGGCGCGGTCCTGGTAGGACATGCCAGTCCTGGCAAAGGCTGTTATGGCTCCAAGCCTCAAGCCTCTAGCGACTGAGCAAGACATGCACTCAAGTGCACAAGCTTCGAGCGTGATCAAACTATAAGATTGCATAAGATTGCTAAACCCCTTGGGAGGTCCAGCAACCCGTCTCCACGAGCACGGCCCCGAAGCACATTGGGTCGAAGCCGCCCAGCATGTGCATGCATGAGTCTTGGCAGCCACCCTTGAAGGTAGAGTCGCGGCCTTCTGCAATGCCCTGCCAGTAGAGGCTGCCGCTGTGGGTCTGGCTAGTGCCGCCGTTCGTGATGGTAAAGACCCCGCCGGTGTGGGACACAGAGGCAGTGGACTCGAAGGTGTAAGTGCGGACATTATCCGTCACCGTCAACTTCCCTTCTCCGGGCACAGTGAAGGGGTTGTTGCACGTAGGTTTTGGGTAGTAGCCGCCTCCGGGCTTGGGATACCACTCCACGCCTCCTGCAGCCGGCTCCGGATACGAAACGCTGCCAAGGCAGCACATGGGCTTGTACGAGAACTGCTCCACCGCTGCTGCATCCAAGATCCAGCAGAGGACTGCGCTGAGGATGATGGCAATCATCACGGCACCCTTCACGCGCAGAAGAATCAACAGGGCCATGACGCAGAAGAACGCGATTCCAATCCAGGTGCGCGCAAAGTGCTCGCCAGTCAGGGTCACAAGGTCCACAAGCACTGCCGGGTGGTCCCTGACGATGTCGATGCCGTTGCCTGCTTGCAGTCCGATGTGGGCCAAGAACAAGCCGATGCCCGCCATGGTGGCCTTCATCATCCATGTGGGGAAGACCTTGAAGACGTAGCGCCGGAGGTCAAGGGCAGACATGATGATAAAGATCACGCCCTCAATCGTGACAGCCATCATCACTTTTTTCACGGCAGTCTGCGTTCCCTTGAAGCCCACGATGGTGTAGGCGAAGTAGGCGTTCATGCCCATGCCGGGCCACAGACCGAAGGGCAAGTTCCTGAGACGGCTCCAAAGACAAGAAGGGGAGTGGGAAAATTGTCCGACAGCATCAATCAAGCACTCCAGACCTGCAGAAGCACATCAGGCCTGTTCCCCGCAGCCCGCAGGTTTTCTGTCACGCACACAGAGCAACCAATTCAAATATTTTTGAGGTTGATTGACTGATTGATTTTTTATATGCTTCCCCCCAAGACCTGCCTTTTCTTGGCTACATTCGACGTTTGGATCCATGTCTACTTGATTACGTGTCTAATGAGTAATCTGACAGCCGAGGCCGGATGAGTTGGCACTATGCGTGTTCTGTGGAGAATACCTCAAATCTACTGTTTGTGTCAATGATGTGGAAGATACATTTATAGGTTGCAAGTGGAGTAAATTGACATGCAGAAGTTCAGACAGCGACATGTACCCTAATCCCTAAAGAGGGGTCCCTCTAAAGAGGGGCGGTCTGTAAATCCTACAAAAGCCCTCAGAGAGCCCCGAATTCTAAAAGAACTAGCCCCATTCACCACATCTTGCTGGCAAATCGCAAAGAGCGGGATCCCTCTTTCTTTCCGTTCTCCTCTTCCCGACGCCCTAAAGAACGGCGTCCTTAAATCCTGAACTGAAGAAGAGAGCCCCTAAAGCCGAGAAAAAACACATCCTATTCCCTAAGCCCAAAGTCCTTTTTGCTGAATCCTAAAGAGCGAGATCCTTGAATCTTATTCCCTTTATGGTAATTCCCAAATCCTATTGCATAGCCATAAAGCGGGTGCGTCTCCCTCCCCCCTCACTATCTTCCACAAATCAGATTGGCCAGGCCGGTGGACGTTTGCCTAAAACCCAAACACTAAACAGAAGGGTTCGTGTTCTTTGTTTATTCCAAAAGGGGACAGTCCCGAAGTTCATCTGCCAAGCATGAAGTGGAGGTGGGGGGGGGATCCCAAACCTAAGTCCCTCAATCCTATTCTCGAAGTCTTTAGATAAAGGGATCCCTGGATCTTGATGAGCAGCTCTTCTAAGCCCCCACGGAATTAAATCTTCTTCGCCAAGTCCTAAAGAACAGGATTTAGGAAGAGGATTGGGGAGCAAGATTCAGGGAAGAAGGTGTACAGCCAAAATCGAATTATGCGGGGGTGGTCTTTTCCGCCGCTAACAACTTTGCATTTTCATTCTCGGAAGCGGGCCCTCAATCTTTCTCGCTGAATCCTAAACGAACGGCTTACAAAATAGGATGTAGGGAGCAAAACCTAGATACCGTGAACCCGATTGAAGCCCATAAAAACCAATTGAATTTAGGCTTGAAGAATGAAGATTGAAGATTGAAGATTCCCGGAAAACTTGCACTGGGAATCTTAAATCTTCAATCCTGATTGAAACTCCATCGGCTTCATCGGCTTGAACGGCATACGTGGGCTTACTGTAAAACCCCTAAACCCTAAGCAGAGGACAAGATGTTTCCTAGTCAGCCCACGAAATCCCCTACTTGACCCTACTTGTATCTTGCGCTAGCCGCCCTATAAGATACAAACCACTACAAGGGCAGATCTTTGGGGGGGTACCAGTGATGTTTATGTCTCTCTCTCTCTCTCTCTCTCTCTATATATATATATACATATTATATACATGCTCAGAAACATAGTACACACGTCCTTTAAACCAATCACACAAGTCCAACGCCCCTGAAACCTTGGCTCGAAACCTATCCTCACACCCGTTTGACCCCGCAGAGTGGTGGGACGCAGGACTCTGCGAAGGGGCAAGAAGGCGCGCGAAATCGTCTGCACCATCTGCAACCCCGCACGTCCCGAACTGTGAACGCGAACCTCCTTCTCTGTCCAAAGCTCGCCCAAAGCGCCATGATCAGCGTCGCAATGCAGCTCGACATGGCCGTAGCAAAGACGAGGCCCTCGAAATTCCTTTGGCGGGACTGTGGATTCTCAAGCCTTTCAGGCAAGGATCTTGACCCCAGCCCTCATACTTTGTCGTAGCTTCTGGGCCTACCTCACAGAGTGCACAGTTGCCGAAGCTGAACTCTACCTGGAAGCATATGCGGTTTTCCGGGTTACGTGCCTTTAGTGTCGGTGGTGAGGTTAGACTTGACCTTGCAGTTCTCGCTGCACTACGTTAAGCAAAGACCCTTTGCAAAAAACCTTCGCGCAAATTGCCGAAGCGCCACAAGGATTGCCTAAAATTGACTCGCCACCCCAACTGCTTTACTGCAGGGCCCAGGCAACTTCATCAACTGCTCAAGCCGAAGCACGCCAAGCTACGCCCGAAAATGCAAAACTCCAAATCTCCAACACTAGACCCGAGATTCTAGATGCTCAATACTACTCTTCGTACATACGGATCCCAGATTTCAAAGTCCCAACCCAAGTGGCAGGCCCGTGGTGCTGATGATATTCGGGTTCACCTGTAGACTCGCAGCTGAAAACGGGTCAGAAGTGGGGGGGACCGGCTTCGAGGTCTTCTCGTAAACCTACAGCATCCCGAAGCCCAGACAAAAACCGAATCCTGCACTGATCAAAGGACAGCCAACTCTGAACAATGCAGCCTCGAAGCGAAGTCGAAAAAACATCTGTGAGTACTTGCACACATGCGAAGGCCGAAGGCTGACAGCTGGCGTGCAGGATGTCTCCTGAAATCCAAGCCGCGGCCATGATGTAAGCTGCGGTGAGGAAGGTCGTGACACCAGCACGAATCTCCTTTTGCCGCTGAAAGCTTATAGGTTGATTGACCGCGCATTGCAGCAGGATTTGGCTTCTGTCTTTAAAGGCTCAAAAGTGTCGGAGTTGCTATGACGCGATAGTGACTATTCGAACTTTAAGAATTGGCTCAGACGTGTCTGACACACTTGCCACATGCCGCTACCAGTTAAAGTGGCCATCATGGCATGTTGGGAGAGGGGGGCATGGGTGCCATGGAATAAAGCTGTGGCAGTCTGAACATTGGAGCGTCACAAGCAAGAAAAAACCATGCACGCAGGAGAATCGGCGAGCCGAATCTCGAAATTCGGGGGCTCTCCCTGTCACACAAAAAACACTCCGCACGAGCTGTCTGCGCATCCCGAGTCTCCGTTGTGAGGTTGGAGCCACGCTGAGACACCTGCAGATATTTATGGCATCTATGGAATGTTGCGCAACTTTATCGCCTAGGGTTGGCCGCCGCGCTGCTGCTCAGCACTCCATACGTCCAGCCACTGGCACATGAATTCTGCAATGGCTGCAATGTCACTTCGAAGGGTTGTTTTGCCGCATAAGGCTTACATGTGTGGGTGTGAATTCGCTCCGGGAGTGAGCCACGAGGTCTGCATGCTATCTGCCACTTGCTGAAATACACAAAGGCGATGTGTTGCATTCCTACCGAGGACATGTGTGAGCGAAAAATTTCTCAAATATTTGTCCCTGTGCCTTGAAGTAGTTGTCCACCATTCCCCCGCGAAACTTCGTGTCCAAAAAGGTGTCTTTCTGGGCGACGTGCAGAATGGGCAAAGGGGGCAAGGAGAAGAAATGCTGAAGGTGACCCCATCTGTCAGTGATTTAACACCTTTGTTGTTGAAGGCTTCTAGGGCGTACCGCTACCATCACTTGCCTGGTTTCCAAGATTGTCGCCAACCATTCTGAGGCTATGGCCGACGATACAACGTCATGTCCGAGCTAACTTCGTGTTAGCACAGATCTTGCCAATTGGGCACCCTAGAGTCCAGAAACTAACGACAACGACGTCAATGGTAACTAACCTTTCACCACAATGGACTCATCCTTGCAAAGTATCGCCGAGTTGCGACGGACGCCTTGCCCTTGGCGCCCACCTTGAAGTCGGGCTGCTCTTCTGCCATGGTGGAGGAAAGCTCCGCAAAGGCAACAGCGGCCACGATAGTTGCACAGTCCCAAAAATGCTTGAAGCGGCGAAGTGGCAAGTCGGATCACACGGCTAACAACCCGAAGCCAAACCAACGTTGCGTGATCCATGTTAGCGCAAGGCACCCCGTGCTGTGCGACCATCAGCACCGACATCTTTCAAAGCAGAAATGATAAGCAAAACTGGACTACACAAATAGCAACTAGGTATGTCGTTGGGAAGATTTGTTCAATAGAACTTCAACACGGAATTTCTTGGTCTGCAGGAGCAACCGACCGGGGACAGTAACCCATTTACATTACGGATAGGATTGCCAAACACAATGCTCGCATGACGGGTTTAGACAAGATTCAAGTGTTGAAGCCCGGGCAAAAGGCCGAAAAGCCAGAAGCTGAAGAACCCTGCAAGCCAGGCCGAAAACCGACAACCAAACCAAAACTGAGGTTTTTTACTATGTCCAGAGGTGCTCCGATTAAAGTATGGAAAAAGCAAAGCCAATCCTACGAAAAAATGGAGACAACAATGGTTTCCCTATGAAAATACTAAAGAACAGATGTTTTCCTGATAAAATTTAGAGAAAACCCTACTGGATACGCTGTTTCCGGTTGTGTGAGTTATAATCTACTTAGGGTCTGCATATGTTAAGTAGGTTACCCTAGTTATAACCGAAGTTATAAGTAAGACCTAAGTAGATCCTAAGTAGTTTTGTTTTTGCTTTTGCAGATGCGAGTGTGGCAAAATGGGTTTTCCCGGCACAGAAGAGCACAAGAGTGTTTGGCATGCTTCAGAAAATGCCAACTTTTTTCAGTGCAGGCACACGACGGCAACGTGCAGGGGCCCTGTTGGCAAGGCTTGACCAGAGCAATTTCGCCCGTGTTTCGCCACCGGCTGCCCCCAACTTTCGAGAGAGACGACTGAAGCAGCGTTTCTTGGCTTGCCGGCAAAGTAAACTGGGCAGCGTCGACGCTGGCCATGGCTTGAGCAACTAGAAAAATGCGGTTAGAGTAGCTTGGAAGGGACTCGGGCTGCAGCGGCTGCGGCGGGGAAGCGAGCGAAAAAATCAGGACTGGAGGCAATCAAGCAGCTGAGGCAGAAGGGAAAAAACCTTGATTTTTCGCGTTTCGATGCAAACACCGGGCCGACAGCGGGCCGACAGGCCTCCGACACCAAATCCCCGCCCTGGCGTGCGGGCCGACAGGCCGACAGGCCAAACTGCGCGACAACATCTGGTTTTGTGTTTGCGGCCGACAACCGGCCGACATGAGCCATTGGCGCTGCGTGAGCGGGCCGACAATGGCCGACAAAGGCCGAAAAAAAAGGATTCGAGAAAACAAAGGATTTTTTCAGAGGGAATGTTAGGAGCAAGGGTTGCTTCTGAGAGGGCTAGGTTCAGTGGCCAAGCTATATCAGCTCGGTCATACTTGAGGTCCGGTGTGCTGTGGAAGCTTCGCGGACCGAGTCGGAGATTGGCTGGCTGGATCCTGGCCCATTCACGAATGGTGCCAAAGGTGAGTGTGCGACTAAGCATAGTTGGGCGCATGAAAAAATCCTGCTCAAGAGGCAGCCTGCATGGCGAGAACACCCATTGGCGTGAGTATGTCTCCAGCTCTAGCCGTCTGCTCTCCACCCTTGCCAAGTTATATCTCCGTCTGGCATCCATGATGCACGAGCCAAAAAAGCTGAGGCTCATGCAGCACACATATGAAATCAAAATGCTGAAAAACACAAATTCATAAGTAGAACCTAAGTAAAACGCAACTGAAACCTAACTAACTTAGAACTAAACAGATACTACTTATATAACTAGCTGGTAAACCCAGTAAATAACCTATAACTGACTTCCTACGTATGACCGACTTGCGGCTGTACTTAGCCGGGTTATAACCCATGTTAGCAAGGTTATAGCCAGGGTTATAACTCAACCAAACCAATCAACCTATCCAGTAGGACCTTGTAAAAACATGCCGTGAAAAAATCCAAAAAACAATACACCTCCTAAAAATAAGGCTGGAGGGGGCAGCCCCTCCCGATTTTTTGCAAGTCTGGTGCTTACAATGACTGGTTTGGAAAAAATATCCTCTGGGTTTTGAAGCCATGTCTCTTCATGGCATGACGTTCCTTCATGCGGCATATCCTGGCTGTGGATCACGAAACAAAGTTCTGAGAGGTTTCCGCGTCTGTTTTTTTGCAATGCCCAAACCCAAATGTGCGGGCATGCTACTGCTAAAGGGGTTTGCGTACAATCAGCAACAAAGCATGTTGCACGCCAGCATCGAATTTCCGAATTGCAAATAACATGCAGCATCCTAGCACCGCGCACCATGGGCGTGGCAAACCTCATTTTTGCATCTGCTGGGGCGTGTGTGTGTGTGTGTGTGTGTGTGTGTGCGTGCGTGCGTGCGTGCGTGCGCGCGTGCGCGCGTGCGCGGGCGTGCGGGCGTGCGGGCGTTCCCGCCGGCGCGTAGGGTCTCGTGCGGGCAGTGCGGTATGAGTGAGGCGCGTCGCGGGAGTGAAAGGCGTTGCGGGCGTGACGGGAGGTGACGGGCGTGAGGGCGTGCGGGGGAGCTGCGGGCGTGAGGGCATGAGGGAAGTGTGGGGTGCGGGGCGTGCGGGAGTGAGGTGCCGTGCGGGAGTGCGGAGCGTGCGGGCGTGCGGGCGTGCGGGCGTGCGGGCGTGCGGGCGTGCGGGCGTGCGGGCGTGCGTGCGTGCGTGCGTGCGTGCGTGTGCGTGTGTGTGTGTGTGTGTGTGTGTGTCTACTTGGAAGGGCGTCGGTTTCGTAAGTGAATAGGCTTGTTAACGAAAATAATATCTCGTGTAAGTGAACATAATAATACGGGTAAGCATGGTTTATTGCATTTATAAGTATGCTATGGTGCATATTTATTTTGTTACATTTAGTATGTTGGTAGCATGGACATATATTTAAAAAATAAATGATGTAGATGGATAGCACCAATATATGTCTAAAACAATAATTATAGATAATTGCACTAAATGATTATACGAATTTAATGTGACTCATTTACCCTACTTAGCTAAACACACTTGTTTGTTTTAGCAAGCAAGCTAAATCAGTTTGTTTGTAAAGGAGGAATGGCATTGGAGACCATTCCGAAGAAGCAAATGTTTTTTAAACCGTGGATGCAAGATGTTTGCAGAGTTGCATATATGTGTGCTCGCTGGCAGTCATGGCACGATCGAGATGCCAATTTAAGCAGGGCACGCATGTTTGTGATTGTGGGTATTTGCAGCTTGTTGCTCAGACTTTTGCTTGTGAAGATTCAGCACCGTCAGTTTTGGCATGATTCCTGCAGATGTTGATCGCCGAGTCAGCATGCTCTTGGAGGGTGCAGCCACTGGAGAGAAGTTGGTGAACACAGTTCACCAAATCATGCAGGTTTTGAGAGACAATGGGCTCGTAAGCTCTATGAGACTGCTTCCCTCGGCAGTTGGGGTCCATCCCAAAAATAGGGATGGCATGGGCTTGAACAGCTCTGACGTCCACACTCTTCTTTCGAACCTCCTCGAAGTAGGATTCGTGTCGGAGAGGACACATTGTGTTGCTATCGAGCCAGCGAACGATGAAGAATTGAAATGGAATCAGCAGCTCATCGACAGTTGCCAGGGGCTGCTGGGGACGATGAAACCTCTGCAGACACTGAAGGCATTGAGCCTTTGTGGCAGTCACACCAATTTTGTTCTTCGGGTCATCGCCGATGCTGCCCCTCATCAGGGCCCCGAGAGCGAAAAGGTCACCGTGGGAGGCCGGCTTGATGTGGGGTTGGTGTCCAAGGTCGACAAAGCCCTCGCCGACCATGTTCGGCATGGCTTGAATTGGGAGGTGTTGTCGTCATCGGTGGGCCTTCGCTGGCCAGAACTCTTGCAGATGATCCAAGCTGCAGGGAATGCTACCCTACAGAAGAGCGAGTCCGAGTTGCAGGTGCTCAGGAAGACATTCGAACTCATCGTGTCACAGCAGAAGGCCGGCATCCAGCTGGACTTCAACGGCATCAAGAAGAAAGCACTCTCATCCCGCCCGGCCTGTGGCAATTCCTTCGCTCACTTTTACCAGTTCGCTTTAAAGCTTCTTGTCCTCAGCATGTATCGCTTGCAGGGCTATATAGCTCGCATTGCAGATAGACCTTGTTTGTTGCATGCCAGCATGTGAGTATAGTTGGGTCTGCATATAGGTTTTTTGTAGAGCAGGTATTGTGGTGGAGCCGAAGGCCTCTTCTTGACAGAGACGGAGAGGTTCGTGAGGGCCAGGGGCTCCACGACAGCACTCGGCGAGAAGGTGTGGGAGGCGATCTGTCATGAAATCAAAGGCAGCAAGAGCCAGCTGCCCTTCCTTCGGCACGGGTTGCTGAAACTCGCCATGACCGGCATGCACTTGAGTGCCACAGATTGCAAGCGAGTTTTCAGCAACAGCTCCATGGTTGGCAAGGCTGTGAAGGCTGACGGGCTCATGTCCCAGCTCCGAACACTGGCTACTCAAGCGAGCCACGGAGCTCTCGCCGACCAGAAGCTTGTGAATGTCTTGGGAGTGGTGGACTCCAACATGGTGGCTCATGTGATGAACATGCAGGTCGCAGATGAGAAAAAATACAGATCTCTGGAGGGCATCTGCCACGATGCTGTGTCGATTGTCGCCAGGGTCCTCGGTGTGCCGATTGCTTCCCCGTGGGAGGCCCATGCCGAAACACTCCCTGCAGCCGAATCCGGAGGGAAAGCAGCAGATCGACTCGTTGAGCTTAACCCGGACGGGTCCATGAAGCAGCCAGGTGAAATCTTGGAAGCTATGTCTATCAAGCCTGGAACGTTCGTTCGCCGGAAGAAGGACAAAGTCGAATGCGAAGTCTTGCATGTTCATGATGCTGTCAAGCTCAAAAACCTGAGCGACGGCCGGGCAGTGAGGGTCCAGATCGATGCTTTTGTTCGAGGCGAATGGCAAGTGTATACCCCGAAGCAAGAGGTGCATGAGATCATGGACCTCCAACCATATGGGCCCCAATCAGTCCACCCCGATTTCGACATCGCCCACACAGTGGCCAAGATCCATTGCGAGATGCATGCTGTCGTTCAGAACCTTGATGTGCATGCCACGATGGAGAAGGTGAAGCTGCAGCTTCGGCCTACCAAAACCCTTGTCACGAAGTCGGCTATCGGCAAGGGCAAATTGAGTCTCGTTCCCTTCAGCTCCAAGGTTGTTGTCCGAAGCAAATCCGACACCCTGCAGGGAGCTGCAGAAGTGACTTTGAAAAAGGGATGCCACGATCGTCGCTTCTTCATTGTCGCCTCCAACATCATGCCCAAAGCAAGCGAGGATGCCCCTGATGTGCTCGTGGGTTTCTTGTCCCCGTTCTTCTTCGTCCAGACAGTAGACGAGGAGAGTAAGGCCAACATGACGATTGTCTTGTCAGGGACCAACTCATCCGAGATTCGCATACCGATCATGAAGAACCTTGTCCCTTTGCCTGCTGGGCAAGAGCTCTTGATCTTCAAGGCAAAGGCCCCAAAGCAGGAAGAGCCACTGGAGGCAGCATCCCCTGAGAGACGAGTGAAAGGCAAGAGGGCTGCATGATTGCAGTGTGACATGCAAAGTGCTAGCATGATTTTGACATGAGCTCGGGAGTGTAGCACCTCGGGCGAGAGATCAACATGGGTTTGTCAGAGATGCACTGATGGAGGCTTTCATCGGTTGTGCAAAAATTTGGATGCTCGGATTGTGCTGTAGCAGGTGCATGGAGCAGCAATTCTGAGTCTTGCTTTGTTGCATGAAACATGTGAAAGCTCGCAGCATGCATTGCAGCCCATTTTGCGCGCAATTTCGCACCTTTGTTTGCCATTGTGCTGACTTGTCAGCAACCCAACCTCTTCAGATTCAGATATGGAGTTCGCGGAAGCAGCCGATGATCAGGAGCTTCACTTGTGCCAGAAGTGGGTTGTGAACCTCAAAGGCTGCAAAACGTGGGTTCCGAAACAAAAAGAAGTAGACGGGGGCACCTTCCTTGCTTTGTCGAAGTGGGACAGACAATGCATCCTCGCCTTGACCGATAGGGCATTGGACCTGAGGAAGGACAAGGACGGAGGGAGCTTGAACTCCGAAGTTTGGGCTCAGCTCATTGAAGCCCGTCAAGATGTGGCCGACAAGGCCATCCAAGAGGCCCTCAAGATGGAGAACACAGAGGAGACCCCGACCAAGAAGCAGAAGGCAGTCAGGGCTGGCTCCAAGCACGACTTCATGGCACCACCCATTCTTACCGTGCATTACCAGGGCCACTCATTCCGTGTCCTTTACGAGGGTTTGGGAGGCAACACTTTGTGGGTCGAGGCTAAGGAGGAGACCCTGCGAATCTTGAAGAAGTTCATCTCTCAATCCAAGCCCAAGCCCCGTGTCAACAAGCCCAAGGCCAAGCAGGGCAAGAAGTCCCCGAAGAAGTCCCCGAGAAAGCGACGATCGTTGTCCAGGGCCGACAGCCTTAAGTGAGCCGGACATCAGTGTCTATGAAGTATATAGATCCTTGTAGCTGGGAGGCAGCATGTGGCAATCTGTATAGAGGAAAGGATTGAAACAGTGCCATCGTGCCATCGAAAGGTCTTGAGACTGGAGATTTCGAAGGAGGGAGAGGAAGCGAGAGGGAGAGGGAGAGGGGGGAGAGGGACAGGGAGAGGGAGAGGGAGAGGGAGACAGACAGGGAGAGAGCCAGAGCGAGAGAGAGCTATACGAGAGAGAGAAAGAAGGCCCGAAACCCTAAACCCTAGAAACCCTTAAACCCTATATAAACCCTAAACCCAAACCCTAAACCTATATATATGTGTGCAGCACAAGGCTCGGATGGGCCATTTTGTGCATGGGCATGCATGTTGAATGATGGCTGCACACACACAGACACACACGTGCACGTGACTTTAAAGATGCCTTTGCTGGCCGCCTCCATGGTCGGGCAGAACGACGAGGAAATGGACATGTTCCTGAACCTCGATCTTCTGCAGAGCCTCAGCCCGATGAAGAAAGGAGCCAAACAAGTGGCCACTTTGAGTTGAAACCTTTGATTTATGTTGACACCTGCAGGACGATGGGGGAACGACTGTGCCCAGATGAGGTGGACACAGACCTCCGGATGGAGGCTGGTGAACCTGGAGGTGGGCTCGTGCTGACTTTACAATCTTTCCGTGGTCCACATATAACTTCTTTTGGCAGGACGACCAGCCTTACTGGAGGCATCCAGACTTGCATGCCATGGAGCCACCTGGGGAAGGCCCCGATAAACCCAGCTTCCATTTGTTTCGGAAAACGATGTCAACCATGCCAGGCTGGCTCTTCTGGCAGGACGGCGATTGGGTGGAGTCTGGGCTGAACCTGCTCCAGATGGTGGATGTCGAGGATGAGGAGGTCCATTCTTTTGCATCAGTATACTTGCAACATGGTCATGTGGTTTGAAACAGGAGCATGAGCAGCCGGAGGTGCAGGCACGACTCTCAGACTTCAAGCGAGCATATTGCCCTGCTGAGCCAGAAGGTAGAACCCCTATATAGAGTACAAGGGCCCTATAAACCCTATAACCCTGAACCCTATATATCCTTACAAACCCTATATATAAGCCTAAACCCTCAGAAACATATGTAAACCTTTTCTAAGCCCTAAACTCAAATCCATCAACCTAAACCCCAAACCTTATTATAAACCCTAAACCTGCAATGTCTCTATAGGTCAAGAAGGGCAATGGGGTGCCTCGCAGGAAGGCGAAGAAGGTGCCCATCTTCTGAGCACTTCATGTTTCCCCGTTCGTACACATGTTGCAACCCACATGCCAGGACATGGATGACATCAGCTCTGGGAGCAATGTCACGAACTCAAGAAAGGGACACGTGGCTCAGCTTTTACGATTTGAAGTCAACACATGTGTGGAGGCTTCGGCTAAACAGCCCAGGGAGCCCGATCACCCTCCTCGGCGCAAGGAGTCTTCTAGAAGGGTTTCGGGTTTAGGATTTATATAGGGCTTGGGGGTTATATATGGGTTTAGGGTTTTCATAGGGTTATATAGGGCTTAGGGTGTAAGGAGTTTACGGGTTAGGGTTTAGGGTTTCTAGGGTTTTTTCGGGTTTATAGGTTTTATATAGGGTTTGTAGGGTTTAGGGTGTCGCTGCATGCAGGACAGCTACTTTCACCCGAAGCCGAAGATGAAGCATGCCACGAAGGATGGGCCAGGCACCGAGCTGCACCCGCCCCCCCGCTGCCCGCCGCCACCCCCCCCGCCGGTTCCCGTGGCCCGGGCTGATGGTGCGAACTTCCCGGTGGCACAGGGGAAGGCAGGGCAGGCATGGGATTTCACAATTCTTGGGTGCCTTGTGGTCTTTGCAATGACATGCAGGCTCCGTGGGCCGGGACAAAGAGGAAGTTCCCGGCCGAGATCTGCAAGCCCGACCATGCCGGTCGAGGCCATGAATGCTGCAGGCTTCTCAGACTTTATGTTGTCTGGTTTGAGGCCAATATGTGCGTGGCTTCCTGGACGACTCCGGCACTTTGTGGCCACCCGGAGCAGGCCGTGCTCGGGCCAGAACCAGGGGTGGGTCACGAAGCAAGCCGGAGGCGGGGTTGGAATTATGTTGTCTGTGTTGGCTTGGGTCCTGTTGTGCTGCTCGGGAGATGGACCATCGCCTGGTGGATGGTTTGCTGCAGCTCGCCGAGACGGTGAACCTGCAGGCCCGATTTGTTACAGTGGCTTGCACAGAATGAGAAAACCCATCCCGGAGGCGAGGTCCAGCTTGGGCTAGCTGTGTGGGGCCCCCGTTAACAGGGAAGCGATGCTGCAACTCTTGCTGTCCTGCAGCGTGTGGGTTTAGGGTTTAGGGTTTAGGGTTTAGGGTTTAGGGTTTAGGGTTTAGGGTTTAGGGTTTAGGGTTTAGGGTTTAGGGTTTAGGGTTTAGGGTTTAGGGTTTAGGGTTTAGGGTTTAGGGACATCACTCGAGAGGCACGGCATGGCTTCGATTTGAGGGCATTTTGTCTGGTGCCCAGCCAAGCCTAGGCACCCTTGAGCCCCCAAGCCCCCCAAACCGAATCCCAACACGAGCTCCTTTCGAGGCCCGTGGAATCCTGCTGGCTGTGGTCGCCACCTCTGCTCCTGCCTCAATACTACAAGAATACTGGTGGCTGTGTCGTCCCCTGCAATGCATAAATTTCGGCCATTGCAGGTGACGACAGCTGCAGATGAGGGGGCTGAAGCGGGCTGCTTGCAAGACCACCGAAAGTAGCAGGCTTATAGATCGATAAGGTCGTGGTTCCGGGAAAGACAGGGGAATATAGATTGATATGGTTGGGGCCCCGGGCCGGGCCAGCAGCATATAGATTGACATGGTTCGGGGGCCGGGGCAGCCACAGCCATATAGATTGATAAGGTTGGGTGTTTCAGTCCGGTGGCCCTTGCAGGCTGCACACAGGCTTTCGGCCTTCATTAGCACGGGGACACGACGATGAGACTGCCTAGGCCCTGTGTAGGCCCAACTTCAACTAGAGGCACCGGGCAACTGACATCGTGTCTCCGTGCTCGAAATTGGCTGGCCGTGGTTACAGCTGAGCCGGGCGAGCTGCAGGAGGGGCATAGAGTTCGCAGCAGACCTCGCCACCAAACCCTAAGGCCCATTAAGGTTTCAAACTCTAAGCCCTCCAACCCTAAAAGGGTTTGGGGTTGAGGGTTGAGGGTGTAGGGTTTAGGGTTTATAAGGTTACTTATAAGGTTTAGGGTTTAGGGGTTAGGGTTCTGGATCTACAAGCCAGCACAGCCTGCAGCCGCCGGTGCTCCTTGCTTTTGTATATACACCCTATTCATTTCTCCATACATATGTATGTATATATATATATACATATATATATATACATACATATATATATATATGTATACATATATATATATATATATAAATATATGTGCTATAAAGGTGTGGGGCTTTGGTGTCTGTATCATCAGTCATGTCATATATGATTATGTTTCTGTGTATATAGGTATAATATATATACATATATATATATATATACACATATACATATATATATATATATGCAATCTACATATAAAAAGTAGTATATTTAGCCTGCTGAAACCAATGGCTGACCCCTTGGAGAGGTTGGCACTGCTGCACCCGGCAAGATGGCCTGAACTCTAAACTCTAAAAAACCCTAAACCCTAAAGACCCTGAGACCCTGTATATCCTATACAACCCGCACCCTATATAAACCCTGTATATAAACCCTGCTGGAACCCAGACTATTCAGAAACCCTGAACCCTAAACCCCACACCCTGAATGGGGTTTGGGCCTTCTATAGGGGTTTAGGGTGTATAGGGTTTGGGGATATACAGGGTTTAGGGTCTATATAAGGGTTATAGGGTTTATATAGGGTTTGTAGGGTTCATAGTCTGTTAAACCCCAAACCCATCGAAAAGAATAAGCCCTGAACCCCACACCCCCATGTAGGATGTATCCAGGAGTTTCTGATTCGAGCTGGGTGCAGTCTCGGCTGGCATGGGAGCATGTATAGCACCGCTCTGCCAAAAAAAAAGATGCAGGGAGGGCGGGAGGAGGGG